TATATATAAACGTATGTACATATATATAATAAACAATCGAGTAAAGAAAGAAAAGATAAAGAAAAATCATAAATAATACACGTTTATTAAGATATATTAGAATATATTACTGCGTAATTATTTCGTTTTTTTTGTTTTTTTTTTTTCTTTTAAGTGTTCCACAACTTGCGGTCCAGGTACAAGAACAAGGAGTGCAACGTGCGTGACACAAGGCCCTACGTGTAATCTTGCAGAAAAGCCTATTACTCAAGATGCTTGTGATTTAGGACCGTGTACCACTAAATCGCCACAAACAAATGCTATTTCCACGAGAATCGAAAGTTCACAGTGGTTGTACACTGAATGGTCCGAAGAGGTAAGAAATATTATAATTTTATGATTATTTTATGGAACTTTCTTAACATTTTCTAAATTTGTAAATCAGAAATTTAAAAGCCTTACGAAGAAATAAAAAATATTTAATAATCGACTTAACACTTAAAATTAATTATTTTCTTTTTCTTCGTCGTTCTATACAGAACGTGTTTTAAGAAAAATATAGTATTTTTTATTAATTTCTATAGTGTTCCGCCGAATGTGGAGTCGGTATGCAAACGAGAAAGGTGTTCTGCGAAAAAGATCCGGAGGGAGAATTTTGCGACCAATCGACAAGACCTGAAACTTCAAGAACCTGTTCCAGCAACAGAACCTGTAGTGGACAATGGTTTACGGGACCATGGACCGCGGTAGGTTCAAATAACATAAATAAGAAAAATAATAAAGTTAATAGCGAATTAGATATGTTTAACTAGTTTTACTTACGTGAAAATCTTAAAAATTATACACCATTTTTATCTCTAAAAAGGAAAGATCAGTCCAAACTTTAAGATTTAATGTTTAAATTTTAAATTTCAAATAAATAATACCTTTTCCTCCAGTGTTCCACGGAATGTGACCAAGGAGAACAAGTCAGAGAAGTAGCCTGCATAACTACGCTTCGTGGATCTCTTCGTGTTGTTCTCGATATGAATTGCCCTGCGAACAAACCGGAAAGTCGAAGATCATGCACCGCTCCACCATGCACATCCTCGTGGTTTATATCAGACTGGACAGAAGTAATTTAAATTCTTCGCTTGTGTATTTTAAGATTAAATTAATCTTCTGTACAGTTGACAACTTTGAAAAACGTGTAACCACGAAGAAAAAAATTCATAATTGTTATTGTAAATTATTTCTCACGCGTTTTAGTGTTCCCGATCGTGCGGAAAAGGCGTTCAAAAGAGAGAAGTAAAATGTTTGAACAGAGAGGGCCAGATACCGGAACACCACGAGCTCCATTGCAAAGAAAAGGATCGACCTATATCTCGACGAACTTGCAATGACTATCCTTGCAAGGAGGACATGCACAGATCTGAGAATCATCACACTGTCCTGCAAGTTCAAGACGACCCGGAAATCTCAAATGGTATTTCCTGACAGAAAGTATCTTTTTCAAAAAGATTTTAATTTTCTTTAACGAGACATTCGTTATATTGCATTGCAAGAAAACTACCTTATCTATTTAATAGATTTTTAAACTAAAGTGATCAATTAGTGGATTCAATTGGACAAGAATTATTTTCTTTTTTGTTACGAATTCTTCAATATTTGTAAATTATTTTAAAGATTTTTGATAATTTTTTACTTTCAGTTCTCGAGGAAAATCCACTTTGCAAGGACAGTACATCTAACTGCAATTTAGTGGCACAAGCTCGGCTCTGCAGTTACCAGTTTTACCATCAGCTGTGCTGTCAATCGTGTTCCAGAGCTAAGCAAGATCTCGAATGATGATCTGAAATTCTGTCGATCAACCAAATGTATCGTAAATGGAAATTTAAAACATCGATGATTAACCGAATCATTGAACGTAACCTTATGATATTATACGTGTCGTAGAATTACTTACCCTTGCACTGCCTGATGAAACATTTTTAACGCCAAGTTTTATGTATAGAAATGATATTAGATATTAGATCTCTAAAAAAAAATAATAATGAAATAATTGTTATTATAGATAATCCATAGGTTTATGAATAAGCTTGAATAAACTTTTATAAAGATTAATAAATTATAACAATTGTCAATGTTTTATAATGTTTTGAAAAGTAGGTTATTTATCGAATTATATACGTAGCTTTAATTGTAATTTTATAGAAACGATGGTATTAATGAATGTATAATTATTTATGATTGATCTATCTGTGAAAATCGTTCGAGCTTTTTATTTAATATTACGGAGAAAGTAAGTATTAGGTTAAATTATAATTAAAATGAAAGGAAAATGTAAATTTTAATACTCAAAAGAAAATTTACGAGATCGTCGACGAGAAATTATAGACTGATCGCATAAATTAACATAACATTGGCATTTAATTTGTATTATTTTCCATAGTTATTATTCGCTATAATAAAGTTTATGCTTTCTATGTTCTTTCTTTCTTTTTTTCTTTCTTTTTTATTTCAACTATATAGAAAAACAGTCATGTCAACAAAAATGGAATCATCATTAAACAAGCCACATCAACGAAAGTATCAACACGATACTATTTACAACGCTAATAACACTATTAATTAAAAATTATTCACTACACCTATCACATATTATAATGCAATAAATTATATGTACATATTTATCGTTTTGAATTATGACGGCAGTGATAGAAAGAAGAGAATTGTCATATCACAAAACGAATAACTTTTAAAATACAGAAATGCCTTGCTCAGTGGCAGCTAAGTAACAAATGATTAGGATATCATTTGAATAATATATAGGAAATGGTTTATTTTGCTTTTTCTGTGTGAACAAATGAATATAATAATGTTGATTATTAATTGTTCAATTTCTCAGCAAAGCAAAATTCTAGTTAATTAGCAAGGCAATACTGTACATCCTTTATTTTACGCATCAAGAAAAGTTCCTTTTAATCCATTAAGATAAACCATCGAGATAAAGCAAACAATTAAAAATTATTTACTAATTTAAAATTTTTATAATAATGACAGAAATTGAACAAAAAAACTTAGCTCCATATTAAAATAAATAAAGAAACTGATTTTAACAAATTCCAAAGCTTAATGGATCAAAAGAAAATGAATTGGCAATCGTAGAACCGATTAAAAAATTATACGAGAACTACAATAATAAACTAGATACGAGGATTTAGTTCCTTTAGCAAGTTCAGGAATTATTCTGAGTTTTCTAAATTTTCTTGAGCAGAAATTGTACTATTATCGTGATTTTTGTACGCTGAAAAGAATGCTAAGGCTTTCATAAGTTGATAACTTTTGCTAATTGGGATATTACTATCGTACAAACTTTTCGAGGCTTTGCAATCTACGTAGAACCACCAATTACACTTTAGAATCGTTTGATCGAACAGGGTAGATTCAGGACAGAGGAAGCTCTTCATAATCAGCCCATCGTCTGTCAATGCACAGACATGAAACACCTACGAAGAATAAAACAATTAGAATAAATAATAAATAAATCTTCGTTTACATTATTTAATTTTATAAGAATAAATTTACCATGCATCCAAGATCTTCGTCGGCATAAAGTCCTGGAAAATGCTTTTGATCACCGCAATAAAAGCTCGTGTCTGGAAGATCCACTCGACTTGCGAAATTGTCATCAAAGTTCTTATCGTATCCCATTGGATAATACTCACGTGGTGCATTCATTACTTTAGTGGCTCCAGAATTATATTTGCTAAAAATATTAATAAAGATAATGATAACAATTTATTGAAAAAGAAAAAAAAGTATTGCAGAAAGTTAAACGAAATATATATATATATATTTCACTTTTTGTGTGGAGACATGGTTGTAGTCGTAGTGCTAGTACTGGTCGGTCCTTGATGTTTTCGCATAAGCTGTTGCTGTCTGAGAAGAATAGCCGCTTCCAGAGCTTCCAAGGTGATGTTACTAGCTTCCGCGAGAGCTTTCAACGACGTCTCCATTCCCTGAATGGGCGCTAAAGACGGAAGTGACAATGGCAACGATGATGAGGATGGCATCGATTGTCGTTTGTCGGTTTGCTGTTGCGATTTATTGAATTCAGCTGATTGGAGCGGCATTGGGTGAAGAGAAAGTAAAGTCATCTCGTTGACCGAGGAGGCGACTTCATCCCCGGGCAGAGGAAGCTAATGTATCGAAGAAATATAATAGATATAATAGAGAAACATATAAGAATTAATTAAAAACTATATATCAATACTATAAAACAAAATTTAGAAAGAAATTGGCATTATAGCAAAAATTTTTGAATATTATAAGAAAATAACTACCTGACTGAAATCGTCTTTCGACACTTCATTATCAGAATCCTCTAAAATAGCTGGATTGTTGCTGATTCGATCAGTCAATTGAGCAGACGATTGTGGCATCGAAATAAAGGGTGGTAAGCCATCATTCGTTGATTTAGAAGTATCTGGTTCTACGATGCTACCAGCTGGTGGTATGGCAGCAACGATATTTGGCAATTTTCCTGGCACTGCAGCTGCAACTGCGAGCATTTGTGGTGATGTCTATGGAATAGACATCAATTTTCGTTAAAGGATTGTTTTAACAATTTTAAGAATAAAAAATCAATATGAATCCGAATTGAATGAAAATTACCTGATCCCTTATCACTTGCATTGGAACGACCTGTTGATGCCTTTTCTGTTGTTGAGCCACCATTTGTTTTTGTTGTTGAAGTTTCTGCAGTTGCTGCTGTCTCATGGCTTCCTGTTGTTGTAGCCTCTGTTGCTTCAACACTTGCAACGCGAAAGCTTCTTGTTGTAGTTTCAATTGCTGTTTCTGTTTGGCTTCTTGCATCAGTTGCTGTTGCCTCAACAAATCTTGCTGCGTTGCTGATAAGGAAGGTGCTGGTATGGTTCTAAGGACCGTGGAATTTTGTTGTACCACCAACTTTTGTCGTTCTGGTTGCTGAGCTATCGGCCTTGCTGCTCCAGGTGGCAAAGGTTTGAAAGGAGGCACCACTTGTCGAGTGTTTTGAGTGTGCTGTCTCTGATCATCTCGATTGGTCGCCTTAAACGAATCATTATTGATGTGTTAGAATTATATTATATTTTCTTTAAAAAAATTTGATTAAAAACACGTGAATAATTTTGGATAAAATTAAAATTATTGACTTTTAATTGAATTAATTTAGAAATTTCATAGCACTACTTCAATTCAATATTATTTACATATACATAATATTTAAATACATTATGGATGGTGGTTCAAATGTGAATATACGGATGATTATGCATTTCAAAATTCTCTTGTCTAATATAATTAACAATCTCTTATTTGCATGTATTCAAATAACCATGCATTAAAAATTCATGAAAATTGAATTGTAAATACATCATCGCGCTTAATATATTTAAATAAAGACATAAAAAGTTATACATTAGTATTTATCATTGAAAATTTTTTTTAAATTTTTTTTTTAGGATTGAAGATTAAATAGCAAATAGAATAATATAATTTACATAAAATTTATAAAATGAAACTTTTTAACATTTCTATTATTTTTTTTTAAACTTTTAAGAACTAAAGAAAATATAATATATTTATTTTAGAATAAGAAAATTGAAATATGTTTAAAAATTAATTGAAATACATATCTAATTAATTTTATGTAAATTACTAGGAATGTTGATGATTTATGCGTTTTAATCTTAACGATCTTGTCCTATTTCATTCATCTTCTTTTTTTCGTATATCTATAATTAAATGTACATGCATTAGTAGTGAGAATGAGAATTTAACTAGGCCTAACGTGTTATTGTTGTGGAAAGTTTTATGCGAAGAGTTCACGCACTAATTACGATAAGCTTGGTCGCATACTTTAATCGATATTTTAATGAAAATAAATGTATCTAAAATTTGAAGATGTGACTACAATTTTTATCCAGTGAATTGTTAATGTAATTTTAATATCAATCGATTAAGATAGATTCGAAAAATGATTACAAGATTTAAAAAAAGTTTTAAAAAAAAAAGTAATCTTTAGATTAATTTTCTTTTACAAAGATTAGAAATATTGTTTAAAGATTATCGTTGGAGATATTGACATTTTGTTATCTCATTTAACATTTTTTATTTTATTTAAAAAGGAACTATTAAGTATCAAAGAAACTATTTGTTTCCTCTTTTCTCATTATAATAAATCTAATGAAAAAGCAGACTTGGATCACGATTGCACAAAGAAAACAGTGTTGAGCATTATATATTATATGTGGATTCAATCGGAATCAGTGAAAAAAAGAAAAAAAAAAAAAAGGTTGCCATAGAAATCATGATGGAATTGCTTTTTACATTCTTATTCATCTTAGATTTTCCTTGAACTACTTAACAAGAAGGCACATATCTGTATAACATATATAGAAAGTGATATAATGATAAGATTGTGTAATAGAATAAAAATTGTCAATATTATTCGTATCAAATTTACAAAATTTAATAATTAAAAACACGTTTCTACATTTTTAATAGGCTTACCAAATTAGTATAGGACGATGATCCAATTCTATTTGTCTGTACACTTCTTCTTTTCAAAGCCTCTACATTGGACAGAGACTGACCAAAACCCAGCTCGTCGCCCACCGAAAATCCTGAAGTTAATAATAATATTAATTGTTACAAAGTTATACCATAATATTTCTAAATCTAAATTTAAATAAACCTAAACATTTCAAAACATTTCATTTTATTCCGAGGTAAAAACTTATATAATGAAATAAATTCTATATATTTGGATGCTCTGATGATATTTTGATTAAAATATATATCAATTTAATATTTATTTTAATATCTATCTAGCTGGAAAGCATAGTATAGAATATCATTTTAAATAAACGTTCCAGACATGCATTCGTTTTTTATATTAATTTTTATTAAATTATGCACATTATGTAAGTGATAAGTACCATTACTCCAAAAGAATGCGAGAAACCAGATATTTTAGAAGAGAGAATTAAAAAAAATTAAGCAATCACATTACGCAAGAATTCATGTTGCTTTTCTTAATGTTTTAATTTGCAAACTTTTTAAGACGATCCTTTTGATCTTTGATCACTTTTAATGTAAATTAAGTTTTTATTACACATGCCATCTTCCTGGCTTAAATGAATAATGTAATGTGTATAATATTCTTTTTTTTTTTCTTATTTATACTTATCAAAGTAACAGTGACATACTGAAAAGAGAGATTTTTTTTTAAAGTGAAAAAGATAATGTTTCATTTCACGCATGCTTTACACCATTGATTAGGATCTTCTCGAGGCTTATGGTAATTCACTTTTTGTGCTTCGTTTCATAATATGAATTTCTTTTAATAAGACAATGTACATAATTATCGATTTAACGTTATGAATAAATGAATATTATTCGATTCTATTTTTCATTTTTATTTTTGTGGATATTATATATGATGAATAAAGAAATAAAGAGGATAATTTTATGTGATTTTATGTAATTTTATGTGAAATTTTAAATTTGAAATGTCATGATATCACAGATTTGATATATATCATTTTTTTATCTCGAAAACTGATATAGAAAATATTCAACTATTCAGTTCTTGCATAATGTGCAATTAGTTGCACGAGATAACGCGCAAAACACCCGATTTTTTTCTTCTTTTCTTTTCTAACAACATATATTGAAAAATCAGGCCGCCAAATAATAGATGCAGACAGTGGAAAGTATGTTATTTACAAATCCTGCAAGAAAATATATAATGACTTACTATTCAATATAGAGGAAAGTTAATTGATTCAAGTGACAGCGAAACAGTCATAAGAAACGTGTCGATTTTTGAAAATAGAATCGTTACATACATATTTTACATTGTCTGAAACATTTTTTTTTACAAGCAATAGAAAAAATAAGCATTAACACTTTTTCTGTTTTATACACATCACATTATTTCAACAATATCCAGATAAATATATGCACATAAGAGTATGTTAATGTATCAAGTGATAGAATTGGAAAAAATATTGTTAATCATCAATGTACAAAATATTTACAGAATACTTGCAATCGATTAATTATAACACGATGGAAGATTGAAGAATTTACAATGTCGGCATTCAATTTTTTTCGCGAAAAATGTTTCGACCGGTTTTTTTCGACTCACCCAGGCCGACGTAGCCTTTGACACCTCCAAGATTTCGTACTCGAAAGAGGCCGGATTTTTTGAAGGCGCAGTTAAGCACGAAACCAAAGTCCGACTGAAACACGCACGTCCCTAGTGTCTCCCGCCACGTGCATCCTGCAACCAAACCGGAAGAGAAGAACAACTATGGATCCCTGCCCCGATTCAGCTTCTGATTTCATTGTAATTAATTTCAGTGACTCGTCTATCTGTATTGTAAACTCAATGATGTGCAAATTAATTTCGAGATCAATACTAAAATAATTATTAATATTCGACGAAAAAATTAAACTAAATACTTATCGAACAATGAAAACATTGAAATAACTTTATATGATGAAAAATTATTAAACGCTGAATTACTTTTGTTAATTAAGAATGAAGTGTATTCCTCTCTTCTACTTACTTCTTTTTATTTTCTTGAAAAATTAACGGTTCGTCGTTATTTTAGGAAATCGGCAATAAATTTTCAGAAACAATAGAAGAACTTTCTCAGAGAAAGTTCAACGTTTTAAACCGGATTTTTCGACGTAAAAATATGGAGTCGACGCGACACTACGATGAAAACTTGCGTTCTTCTTATTATTCTAAACTATTCGAATCAGTTAATAAAGGATTTAATCGATCTCGACTAAAATTGCGAGTATGAGAATCTCCATAAATACCAATTCTAGGACAGATTTAATCCACCATTCCTAATCTGTGCTATTGACCCCTGTTCGTGAATAGTTATCATAAACGACGATCTCATCGAGCACGACAACCTTGATTGTAATTAGTGATTTTTTTCATGAACAACATTGATACGATCGTTTTAATTCAATCTCAGTTTTTCATGACGTTAACATAATGTCATAATTAATTTTCATATAAATAGAACGTTAACGAAGTTTTTCTTTTTCTTTTAGATCAAGATAATTAAAGATGGAATAAAGATACTATTATTTTTAGAATAATTGAAAGATTCATTCGTAATCAATACGTATTTTGTTATACAACAAGTAAAATGTCAATTATTCGAATAATTAATTAAAAGATTCTTTGGATAATTTCAAATAATTTGTGAATACATCACGAAACAAATAGAAATTAAACAATTTTGAAACATGGACATAAAATACTCATGTATATTTCATAAGGGAAATAAAAAAATAAATTAATTATTTTTAGATACATTCTAGGATGCATTGTACAGAATTTAAACATTTTTAGATATAATTAAATGCATATTTCGGATAATCAATTAATAGATAAGTGAAATTTAAATGATTGACGTTTTACTGTAGTAAATAACTTTCGTTTTCCTTTCGTGATGCCAATTTTAGTGAAATCAGTGTTTAAGTGTTACAAATTCCAAATGGATCTTTTTCCATTACATCTGCACCAAGTCGTCATCGACTACATAATTTTCTCCAACGAGATGACTCAATCGTTTAAGATAACAATAATCACTCAAAGAAGAAACAAAATCTTCGTTGAACTCTCACAATGTACAAAAAAATGAAATCACACACAGATTTTGAAGAAAGTTCAAACAGACGGATCATGTAAGAATATGCAAATTATGATTCTATATGCTTAGTCAAAAATTCACACCATCATTTAAATATTGATTTAAATAAAATATCACAGATGTATTAGAATTTCTTGTTGTTTGTGAATTATTATTAATTGTGAAATATATCAGAGGTTTTATTTTTTTGCAATTAAATTTCTTTCAATCATCGTGATTGATAAAGAGGAAGAAGGATATTGAAAGAAATGTTCCAAAGTCTGTGAAAGGAATATATACTTCCGGAACTCGAGTTCGGAGAAGATTTGCCAACGTGCCATTGGGCCACAGCCTACTGACCCACTTGAAAAGTCCAATCAACCTTTCGACCACGAAGACTGGCCACGTTCTATACTTCAAAATCAGTTCCGTGTCTCAAAAAATTCTTGATAATCTTGCTCTTTCGAAATTAAATAAGTAAAGATTGCGACATTGTAACAGTTTTGTAAAATTAACTTTACGATCTGTATAATTAATAGTTAATAGCACTTCTTTCGTTTCTTTTTTGTACGTTTTTTTCGATTTTATTTCATATTCTAAATATGAATTTTTTTTCATCTCGTCATTGCATTAATGAATAAAATTGTCTTGAATTAATTATAGAGTGATAAATTAGAGAAGTGTAATTGTAATGTGTAAATTGCAGAAAAAAGTAAATGGTTATTTTCTCGAAAAATAAATTTCTTCTTATAAAAACACCAATAAATATTAAAATGATTTGATTTGAATTAAAATTTTAATTATAATTTATAACTATTTAAATTAATTGATAGATGTTTTTAATGCACATCAGTTGTGATATATTTACATCATTGTATTAGCATTTCAATTATGAAATTGTAACTTTGGACTGGATGCAAATTCACTTTCTTAATACTTTTGTGATCGTTGAATACATTTTCTACTTCTTTTATGTCCTTAGCCTATATTTCTTGTGCCATAATTCTATGTAACATTTTACAAACGGAGAAGAAAGTTATCATATTTAATATTCCACGTTTCATACAATGTTTCACAATAAACCAAAAAACTGAAAATAATGAAATTTTATGAGTACATTTTTGTATCTGAAAATGATTTAAAATCTACATAATAAAAGTTTCATAGACGTTTCAGTTTGAATGTTCAGCTTACGTTGCGTGCATGAATATAGTGAAATTTTCAAACGAGAAAGCTTAAGTCTACATGTTGACCGAATTACTGAAGAATAAAGTCACAGATTATCCTTAAGAAGAATGTTATTTAACGAACGATTGTAGCAAAAAATATAAAAGTTCCAATAAACTTTGAAACATTTACAAATTATTTGAATATTATTAAATATTGTATATAATTTATTTGAATAGCTAAATGATATTTTACATTTGGAAAAATGTTTCTTGAAAAATTTTCTCATAAGATCTTTGTTAATTATCAAAAATATAAATTTTTTTTATTTAATTAAATGTCTTATTTCTAAAATAAAAATAATAAAATATAATTCATCATTTCAATTCAAACTATCTTTTATTTCAAATAAAATATATTTAAGCTATTAAATGATTTTAAATTCTGTAACTTTTCAAAATCATAATAATTCTTTCTGATTTTTTTCAAACAAATTTTGTATAAAATTTATTTATTTTTTTTTTTATTTTTTCATTTAAAGGAATTCCAGTCTTGTTCCAAAAGTTGGGTCAGATTCTAATCTCTTTCAAGATTCTATTCACTGGTAAGATCGAGGACGATGATTTTGGTAAAAATTTCAAGGATACTTTCACTGTTTCTTTTTAAGAGTAATCTCAGTCACGCAGTCTAATTACGCAAAATTGTATGAATGGAGAATTAAATTCACTTTTCTTTATCTGTCATCGTTTCTTGATTTTATATGAAACGACACAACGATTCGTTCTTAATGGAGTAAACCTGCGCAATACTTTCCCACGAACGCGGCCTTTACCTTTACCTTGAGAACGGTACTCCTTTGCAATCGCCTCTCTCACAATCGCAGCTCATTTGTCATCGAATCTTTTTTCTGATTTAAAAAATTCGACAGGATTTATAAATAGTCAACGACTATATAAAATGAATCGTGAAATCTTATAATTGAAAATTAAGTGAAATTTAATCTTTTTTATTTATATATACCAAATACTTTTTTTTTTTTTTTTACTGTGACAAATAGAATCTGAATCGTCATTAAAAAAAGAATAAATCGTTGAAGATATTGAAAACATAAAACGATATTTTTCCTTTTTTTGAATATAAATAATTTATTACTTGCGTAGAGAAATCGTCTTCGTTTCTCTTCGTTATTGACATGAAATATTTTTATACGAAAAGAAGAGGAGATGAAAAAAATCTGAAGATCGTCACTAAAGAAGTGATAGAAAGATAACCATATGTAGAAAGTGACCAATTGGATACAAAACACATAGATCCGTTGCTGACCCGATTCCCCAAATAACATTTAGCTGTCGAAAACTTAGTGGAAACATTATTGGAATCAGATGAGTGTCATCCTATAAGAATCTGTGCCTCTGTATCCGTTTTGAAAGCTGCTTCCTCGTCAAATAAATCGATCCAGTGAATGGAAACCACAATTGATACACAAAACACAATTTGTTACAGTTTTCTTCTTTTCTTATACGAAATCCAACAATCTATCTTCGTCAAATGATATTTCATTTGATCCAACGAACATTAATTATAGAGAAACTGAATCTTTATTACAACTTTTCCTTTCTAAAAAAAAATTAATCCTTGAATCTTTCTTAAAAATCTTCATAGAGTAAATTTTCAAGCGAATTATAAGATCATTGTATCTCTTTCATTGCATTCTTTTTCCTCGACAAATTTTCTCGACGCCTCGTATTTATATAAAACTCATCATCTCATCACAATCCAACTAATTATCATTCGATTTCCAACGTGAAAGTCATTTTTTCGATAAATATACAGAGAAAGTTGGAATGACGAGCGTATTACACGCTGTCAACGAAAAATATAATCGTAACAGCAGTAAAAGTTTTCACGACCCATATATATATACATATATATACGTCTCTTATTATCTTCGAGTATCATTATACATTCCTGGACTGTTCGAAAATATATACAATTTCATCTATGACACGCGCCATTGACTCGATTTCGATCCCCTTTCTCGATTCGTGTTTATAATCATTGACACAATTGTCGACACGGGCAAAATAATTGCTTACTTTCGTCGCTTGCTTTCGTTCTATTTCTCTCGCATCAATATTTTTATCAATGTTGAACCGATGTTTTTTACACTTTCTAGTTCGCGCCAATGCATACGATCGACTTTACTGTTACTTTTCCTCTTCAATGATTCTGTCCTCGTCGCGTCGCGGCCATTCAATTGCGTTTATGCATATCATTTAATGCACCGTTCCATTCGGCGTTTCTCTCGTTTACGCGGGAATATAAACGCTACGATGAATAATTTCTTTGGTGAAGAAGAAGATGTAATTGTTGAGATTTTATTTTATTTTATTTTATTTTATTTTATTTTTTTTCGATGCAGAGAAAGCCTCAGAATGATAATAAATAGAAAAATCAAGTAAAAAAGGTTTGAGGATTGTCCATGTTATGTAATGTTTCATATCATATTGCATAAATATAAGTATTATAATATATAAAGTATATAAGTATATTATATGATGTGATATACTTATTTCGTCTTTAAAAAATTTTTTTGAGAAACTTTAATTATATTCTCTATCAATCAAGTATTTCTACTAATTTGCTATTTAACTTTCTCTTATTATATCATAATCAAAGCACGAATACTTAAATTTCTTCGTTAATATGGTAAAAAGTATGATTACAGTATAATTTACCTTTTTGATTTCTTTAAAAATTACAAAATAAATTAAAGTAAATTTAATTTTAATAAGCAGAGCAAAAATTTCTATAAGAAAATATAAAACATAACAAAAGTAATTATTATCAACAGACATGGAAAATTCTTTGGATGATTATGCATGAAATACAATTATTGTTTCCTTTGAATAAAACATTGTAATGGACATTTATGTAGAAAAAAAGAAACATAGAAAAAAAAATATTATGTATATAAAATTGAATGTTGTAATATATTATATTGATGATTGTGAATAAATAAATAAGGAATAAAATCAATTTTGATTTCTTCCTAAATTTAATATTTTTATAATTATCGTTGAGAAATCGAATATTAATTAATATTTAATATTTTACAACTTATTTACATTTTTATATATACAAATTTCTAAAATCTCTTATAGTTCCTTATTCGATTTTTATTATAATTAGTGAAAGAAGATTCAGTAAATGCTGAAAGAACTTTGAATATTTCAACATTTTTTTCACTTCTATTGCAAATATAACAACTATCTAAATAAAAACGAAGATTTATTTCTAATATTTTTTCAGTAAATTTTTATTACAAACTACATTTGTAATACTGTAGCATCGCGACGCATGATGCAAAACCACACATCGGTCATGCTTAAGTTGTGGAGAAGAGGACCGTGAAATTAATGAAAATTACTTCTGCTAGCCCACGAAAAGCCATAGTAGCAGGATATGTATGTAGTGCGGTTAAAAACGCAATACTTCCCACACTTTTCGATACGAAGAATCATATTTACAAAGATCCCTGTATTAAAATGAGAGAAATATAGCTTATACTTATATAGAGAAGTACTAAGCCATTATCAATGAAAGATGATTATTTGAAGATCCAGTAATGAAGTCCAGTAATAGTAAGATCGAGTGATAAGGAAAAAATAGTAAGATCGAGTATACTATGATGTCAGTCAAGATAGATCTGGGTTCGATAGCACAGAATATAAAATGCTTTGATACAAAGCGTGAATGGTGGAAAAAAAGGCCCAAAAACCCAGAAAGAATATTGTAAGATACTAGTTTCCAATCCTTGCATGTATTATCATTTATTAGATCAAAGAGAGAAAAGGAATATAAAATAAAATATATTGGAAACTAATTATTGAATATTTAGACATAATTTTGATATATAAGTCTCATATCGTAAAAAGATTCTGTGATTATGATTTCTGTAATAAAATATAATATATTTTAGTGGTCAGAAACTTTTAGATTGAGACTTGTATTGAACGCTTAAATATTCATGTGACATAAAACGAATATTTAAATATTTGCACATGAATATCCAAATATCTTAATTATACACTCGAAAACGCAGCTTCTAGTTTATGTAAATATGTATTTTCAACACGATCTTGTTCATATTAATTCCTCAAATTAATCGATATAGAAACTTGCCAGGTTCACGATTTTTTAGCGATAATTATATGATTATAATTATAATGTTACGTCTATACTTTCACCTTTCTTTTATGAACTATAATTCCAAGTTCCACATAAAACGTTACGAAATCATGTATCTCAAGTCATCATCAATGAAAACTGTCAATGAACGATGTCAAACATTCTAGAAGAATCATTTACTAAATTCTAAACTCGATCGTCGACTAATTTTATTTTAACATCCAATCAATTCCTATAAATACTTTATATAAATAATTACATGCAAATTAAAAACACGAACACACGATATACAATTATGAGAAAATACACACGTCAAATTTAGAAGCTGCATCTTAAAATTTGAAACAAATATGACAAATAACTGTTCTACGTACCGACAACTACGAAGAGGAACAAGGTCGTGGCGATCTTCATACTTGTCTATCCAGTTTTAGTTATCGTTTAGTTTTGCAAAATACTCGATAATTGTCTCGAAACGTTTCTTCTTCGAGATATCTTCTCTTCAACGTCCACCGTTGAATAATTACTCTCGTACTCTCGATTATCGAAAAATCCGCAAAATTACGAGCCTTTGGTGATATTCCACGATAGAAAGATAAAAAGATACGACAGGTTACTCGTTCCCGCGGACACTAATACTGTATGGACATGTTCCTCGAAGGCGAGCACGCTTTCAGACCCCATCTGGTTTCCAGGGACGGCTGAAACTTGGCTCCACTTTCCAGATCCCCTCCCATTCTCTTCACGTCATCGTGGAAAACGTTTGATAGTTGGTGATTACATATGCGGTTAAAATACATGCGTGTTAAACGTGCATGAAAAAGTTCGAGGAATATTTCATGTAAGATTTTTATCGGTATTCGTTAAAATATATTCGCTCAAGTTCGTGATTTTATTAAAAAAATTCAGTTAGTCGAATTATTGAATTTTTTTGAGCTGATGATATCTTTGATCTCAAATATTTTTTTAAAATTGGAAAGAAAATATCTTTTTTTTGAAAAAGAAATTGTTACTATTGTTAATTCTCTAATAATCTTGTTATTCTCACTGTTATTATTCGATATTTCTTGATCTCCAATATCTTTTACATTTTTTAAAATTGGAAATATGTTTTTCTTTTCAAAGAAACACCCGTGTCTGAAATATTTTGATTCCAATTTCCAATTTCCAAGTAGGAATTAAAACTTGCAATTGAGGTTTAATTTCAAGAGATCAAATGATGGTGATATTTCTATTTGTAGAAATTGTTTAAGAATATTAGAAATTACACAGGTACCTTCTTTCCTGAGAAGAGACGGTCCTGTCGAAGTCCCCACCAAGCTTGAACGGGAACGGTTTGCTCACGGCATAGGTTCGATACGCACACGTTCGAAGCGGCTATGAGTAAAATCCCGTCGAAGTGTCGGTGACCCACTCGGATGAAACGATAACGGGATCGTCATGCATTCATTCACGAGCGAATTGATCGACAGGTTGGGAGGATCGGCTGGTTTTTAGGTCTTTCAAAGATCGACAAAACAACTCTGTCTACAGATTTTTATCTCCTCTCTCTGGTTTCTTCAAAATTGATTGTATCCTCGTTTTACGTTCCATCAAATAATTTTAATACGTAGTAATATAATGAATTTGATTCTAGTTGTGTATATGTTGATTGAAATTAGAATTTTTTTTAGATTTATTCTAGAATTTTATGAAATTGAATATAATAAATTCCAATTCGATTATATTTATTTTATTAATCGTAATAAAATTCTATTAACTGTTTTCAGGTATCTGTGATTAGATCAAGTTTGCTATGGGTCAAGTTTTAAGTACGAGTGATGTAATAATGCATTCCGTTACACCGATTTTACAGTGAAATCGTGCCTCTTACTTTGTAGACGTGTATTAAGAAATATGGTCGTGCAGTTCTTGATTTTTAAATTACAGATTGTTGTTTCATTTGACATTACTTATAAATTAATAGAAATACATCAATACTATGGAGGAAAACCATGTAGTTAAATCCAAACACGTTTATTTGATGTTTAAAGTTTAATGCCAGAGATATTATTATGCACTCGGCTATGTGAATGTCAAGTGTAGATCAAGGTTTAATAGCTGCTTTTGTCTATCTCTTATTCATAATTTTTCTTTATCTAATAAAATATTGATAATTGATTGTTTTAAAAAATTTTTATATTATATACTTTCACAATAATATTGATTTATATTTCTTTCAATAGAATTATTCCTTCAATTTTGTTCAGTTTTGTTAATTCAAGTTATGTATATCCAATTGAAATATTTTATTTATAAATATAGATTTTAGATATAAATTTTTGTTAATATTAAAGAAAATTAAAAAATAGTAAAATACAAAAGAAAAAAATTGAAAGTTTCATTCAAGAAACTCGTATAATCATATATGATTAGTCTTTTGAAATTTTACAATAAAATATATTTCATTATTGTTACTTCTTTTAAAACTGTATGATTATTTTTATATCGTTATTTCTATAATCTTCTCTCATTGATATTTTTACTTGAAAATTAATAATATAATTTTAGATATAAACTCAATTTTCTTTCAGTAAGTGAAATCTTGTTATGTTTATCTTTAATGCTTTGTTAAGCATAATGAAATACACTTTCTTTCATTACATTTCTTTAATATCATGTATATTTTAATATATAATCTTCCGCATTTCTTTTTCTTCCACCGTAAATGATGTTTATCCTTCCGTTTTTTTATTATCATTATTTGCTCTAATCTTGAAACAGAAAACATAGAATTGATTAATATTTAAAAATCAATATATATCATAATTATTTTTAAATAATATCAAAGAAGCAAAGATATTGTTTGAAAAATTAGATTGTTTTAACTAAAAATAGTTTAGAATTATTGAAACTCAAATAAATAATTTATAAGGATTATCCCTTATTCATTTAATTTCTATAATCCTTGTCCATTAATCATTCATTATTAAAAATAAATCATTTTTAAAAGATTGGTTTTACCTCAAAAACCTCAAAAAAAAAATCATTGAAAATCGTAATAATAAATAATAATATTTTTAATATATAACAATTTTAATTATTTTGATTTAATTATATCATTATATAATTTTTTTAAAAATTAAAATGAATATTTATTTTTTATAATATGATTCTAGAAAATAAAAAAGGAATAAAAAGTAAAATATGAAAGATTATAATAAAAACTTATCTTAAAAAAAAAGAGTTAATTACAGTTTTAACGTTTATCAAACAGAATGATCTAATTATATCTCTGCTGACCCTTTTTCCAATGTCAGGAGCTTTTATTGTTAGTATCTCATCAATCATTCTAATCAGATTCATAAAAATATCGTGACGTCGTGATATGAATACTTCTCTGATAAAAATAGCAAGCATTTAACTGCTTCATCTAAAAATTGATAATTCGAATTAATTATATCAGATAACTACAAGAGATCTTGCGTATAAAAGTATTTTATGATATTCTGGGGAAATAATTAATTTAATATTCATATTCCTAAAGTCTCTATCTAAAATTAAAATGGAAATAAACATTTATTATATTAATTATTATTTTTCTTAAATAGTAATTTCTTTTTCGTATTAATTTTCGTCATTTTAAAAAACAATTTTTATTAATGCTAAATATAATTTGTTTGAAAATATTTAGATTGATCATTTTTTTTAATAATAATAATTATTGTAATGTGAAATCATAAACTATATTTATTTTCGCTTATCTTCGCTTGTCCCATAATCGTTAGAATTTTATTTTTGTCCAGAAAAGTACAGTATCTGCCATCTATAGCCGAAAATTAAAACACAACTGTTAGACTTCAATTCATTTCTAGCTCTTGATAAACATCGTTTTCGTAATTATTTCTTTTCTTACGCATTAAAAATTTCAAAGTATTAAAATAATATTCGTACCAATTTTTCTACGTTTATCAAAATTTCACTAGAAAAGAAATTTTTAAAATTATTAATAAAGAGAATGCACAAAAAGAAAGTTCATATTTTTATAAATGTGATTAAAAATATCGAATCTAAAATAATGATTTCATCACATTAAAGTTTACCACTAGCTATATTATCGATTTTGCATATATATTTGCGTCTTGTTTCCTATAAATATTTCCTATAAATGCTTCAGAGGGCTATTTTAAAATTGAGCATACCTCTAACAAGAATTTTTGAGGTGGATGCAATGCATTCGCGGCACGTATGTATCAGAGAAGCAGCATCGATCGTTATGCAAGAATGGCGCCGATTTGACTCTCTTTATTTAAATTAATTTCCTCGTTTGTTTCGGTATCACCCATTGTATGTTTATGCCTTTCGCCATCTAAAGATAAACCTTCGTTATAAACGTTGCATTCTCTTATCATCGTACGAATACGGATGATGTACGCTTTGCATTCGCAAAGATGATCTCTCACGTTATCGGCGAGCATTAAAAATAGCCTGTAACGATTCAAAACATTTCAATTTGGTCTTTTCATCGATAATTATAATCTTCTTTCAAAGAATCGTGGATGGACGAATTGTGATCTTGTCACAGAGGGGTTCCATACACCCGCAATTATTCTATCTATTGATTTTATGATTCGGTTGTAAACAGAAAAAGAGAAGCAAAAGTCGGTGGTAAATTATAGTTACTCCAATTGTTCGATTTCGTTCTCTTTGATACACATCGTATGTAATAATAAATAATATTGTTTGAAATGTATATATAATTTTGATTTAATACATAAAAAGTTCCTTTTTCGTCTCTTCTTTCAAGAATATCTGGTTCTTTCTTGAATAGTTAATTAATTATCTATGTCAATTCATGTCCTAAATATTAAGTTGTATTTCACACGAATGAATTACAAATTTGTCTTTGTATTAATTTTATGGATTTTCATCAAATAATAATTTCCATTCTTTATGAATGATATTCATAAGTATTAATGTTTTGAAATATATCTTATAGATGTTATACAATTGAAATTTCAATTCGATCAATAAGATGAATAATTACAATTTTTTAATCTGAATCAAAGTCGATCAGAAGGGTTCATAGTACTCTCGATGGCTTAATGATTTTTATATGCACAATTTAATCAATGTAATTACTCTGTTCAACATTCAAGCTGATTTCTTAGAGCATACGGCCGCAATTCGTTGACGGTCTTCGTTGATAGCGCAAGAAAGAAAAACCTTCTTGCGAATGATCATAACACTAACTCCTCTGTCCGACATTTAATTAACTCCGTTTTGCCGTACTCAGAAACGAAATTGTAAACCATCATTATATTTAGTATTAAAAAATTCTTTAAAGAATATCTGCTTTTCTTGGAAATGAATGAAACCTTATAAAAGATTTAATAAAGTAGAAACAAAAACCATATTAATGATACTAAGTAAAAGTTAAGTAAAACTATTAACCATTATAAAAAAATAAATTTATAAAATATTTTGAAGCGTTAATTATTAACAAAATTTAAAAATTGTGTATAGAAATACGTACCATAATATTTAACCTAGTATAATGTTTGTGTCCAGTTAAGTCTCTAGTTAATTGGATAAAAAAGACATCAATTATTGGTCCATCTCGGGGAACGTAATAGTTCATTCACCTCGAGATAATTCGATGAACTCGTAGAGACCTCTATGCAACGACCTGTTTTCTATTGATATTTTTTTTTCTCTTGCATTTTTCTTTTATATTTGAAGATGTAACGAGTCGTGTGAATCGTAATAATAAAAAAAATCATTTCTGTAAAATTTGATATACATATAAATCACAATATCAAAGAAATTAAAGAATAAATATTTATATTTATACAAAGAGAGAATAATATTATTAAAATTGCTAATTAAAATTATTACATACCTGAAAACCGGACCAAAAAAATTAGGATAATTGAAAATAAAATAATTTGCTCATTGTATTATCGTTTCTATCGAATTGCATTACAAGTCCTGACTAGTCCTAATAAGTACATTGTCATTCTCTTATTGAATCCATGTCCTTTGTGTCCTGCATCCTTGAAAGAAGTGTGCGCGGTTAGCACACGCATCGAACGTTTATCGTTGTCGTGCTTGAAATTATTTATCAAAGCGAATGTGCCGTGTTGTATACGAAAAATATATGTACGATGCATTATTTATCGAATACCTGCATACCGATGAAATTCTGCTACCAAATCGTGTTGCTCGAGGATTGTTCCAGATTCTATAACTATTTCTGCATCACACGAGAATTATCTGTAAAATAAAAGATTTATTATATTAATAAGATATTTAATAAGATCTAGACTTAATTATACCTTTATCTTAATGTAATGGATTAAATCATCATCGATAGTAAATCATCCTCTTTAATCCTCTTATTATAATCCTCTGAAATGTTCGATTTTATATTTAAAAATTTCTTCATTATTATTATGTAATATTTTATAAATTATATAATATTTTATATTCAGGAAAAATTTCAATTTATGTTCATCGTACAATAAAATAAATATTCATTTTTCAATAATTTTTATTTCATACTTTAAATTATATACTCTCTTACATACCTATTATTATTATTATATTTCTATGCATGTTTTTATTATCCACGTATTTCATTATTGTTTCTTACCTTAATTCGAAGTTTGCATTCATTTATTCCAAAGATATCCCAAACGAAGTTGAATGTCTTACAATGGAGGAAGTTCATCGTCATTAACAGTGTGTCTCGAAGGTATGGCGCCAAATAGACGCCGACTTTAAAATACGGCGCATGCGTACTGGCAAGGGTTCATCGATTGTAAACAAAACCGGAGGCGACCGCGTGGTTTCGATCAGTGTGGCGACGACTCTCGCGATCGACGGAAGTGGAGGAGTTGTTTTTTTTCTTCACTTTTTCCATATATTCGATTGGAGGAAATCGCAAGTTCGCACCGTTAATTCTCCATCGATATCTTCTCCTGAAAAGAGAAGAGAACGAGAAGAACGTGTAGAGCTGTTGAAACAAAGACGATTTCACTCACGGGATTAGGTGATCGAAGTTTTGGAAAGAAATTGAAAAGCACAATTTCATCGACAGTCGATCAAATTAGTTTGCTTACAATATTCAATTAACAGGAAACAAATTGAATGCGCAAAGATTGTTTTCTTACCGTTCAAACGAGTGAGAAGGAGTGTTCAACAGGCGATTTGAGGAAACCATCTTCGAGGTTCCATTCTGTTCTTTCGTTTTCTTCACTGAAAAAGACCTTTGATGTAATTCAAGGCTTGAAGGGCTCACCAAGGAATAACTGATCAACGCGTAGCAACAAGTTTCACTGAGATTTATTTCGATCTTGGTACGCTCATTCAATGAATACGAGCTGTTGGACCGTTGCGCTGGTTGTGGCCCGGTGCACATGCAGTCTGGCTTGAATAAGGGCTCCATAAGTGCAGGTAGTCTTACAAAAGGGTCCAAGTACAACGTTGTCACGTTTCTCGAGAAACTCGAGGCAGTGGCCTGAATAACAGCAACAGCGCCTGTTGAAGAGCAAGAGGGCGATAATAGTGTACCAAAGATACATGATAACGTGTATCGATACACGAGCCGAAGATCAACGACGAGTCACTCTGAAAAAAATTGTCGTCGCGAAATGATGTTTTAGCAGGAAAGAGTTTCGAGCCTATCGTTTCCTCTATTTCAACTCCTACTTTTGCAGAGAGGAAACGAAAAGGATAGGGGAACGGGGAGAAATTCGACGATTGCTCGAAATCAACGACTGTGGGCCACGAGAGTGATTCATAATAAACAATGAAGTCTCTGAAGAATCGTTGCATCGTCCAACATCGTGCTTTAGAGATTTCCGCTTGAGAACGAAACAATTCGAGGATATTGGACATTGTTTGGAGATTCATAGATTGGATAAGATACACACGCGTGAAATATCGATCGATTATTGCGTAAAGGAGAAACGAGAGTCGTCAGAAAATGTCGCTCACCTCCACGGAGATTTGGAACGAAACCTTGCCGATGATTAATTCGACGCGGATCGCTCCCCTTTTAATATCTCACCCTGTACTGATGTCAAAGAGACACGTGACTTTCGCCGCTCAGGTGGTGCTTACACTTGTGTACATAACCGGTGTGATTGGCAACATATCTGCTCTAGTCATTCTCTTTCATCGTGATAAGGTAATTAAAAAAAAAAGAATTTGTTACATGATGTTACTTATTTAAAAAATGAATGAAAAAATAACGATCGATTAATCGTATTTATATATCGATAATGATTCATTCTATGTATTAGTAGTAGAAAAGAGAAAAGTTATTTATATTATACTATTATCGGAATGTATATAAAGCGTGAAATTTAATCGATAGTAATCATAGTGAATAATACTTATCTGTATACAGATAAATATTTGTTTTCTGTAAAAACAGAATTAATTATCGATGATTAATAGATATATATCAGTCGGATATAATAAAGAAATTTAACACATGATAAATTATTTAAAGAAAATAAGTCCAATATGCCAAAGTAATAAAAAGATGAAAACAATTCTCGAAAACGAATAGTAACTAATACGATAATAGTCATTATGTAATTGAAATAAATTGTTTCAGAGAAGAAATCGAAAACACTTGTTGATGTTACGTTGCCTGGCGATCAACGATCTCGTCGCGTTATTAGGGATGCTGGTGCAAATGTATATCACGATCTATGTGGGCAGCGTGATATCCACTCGAGGATTTTGTTCTCTTCGCGTGGTGTGGAGGCTTTTCGGTTTATTCAGTGGTTGTGTCGCCATCGTGATGGCAGCTGAAAGGTGGCTAGCCTTGACTAGACCCTTCGTTTATCAGAAGGTAAGTCAAGATCCTCGATAAACCTTTATGAACGAAGGACCAACATTAGTTTTGGTATTTACAACGGCTTATCACCAGATTTTTCTTTTCATTTTATGTTTCTTTTTTTTTTTTTTTCCTCCCCATCCTTGTATCTCATCTAACGTTTTCATATTATCTCGAACTAAATCCCTGTGAGTAATGGTTTTAAATGAGTGGTTAAAATAATATTATTTGAGAATAATAATATATGCATACCAGAAAGTGTTGAATTAAATTTTTATACCGAAAAAGGTTTTGTTTTTCTCAACTGGCCATTGATATTCATGATAGCTTATTCTCGCATCGAACCTGAATGGGAATGTGGCGGCAAATATTTTTTGCGAGCGAGAGGCAAATAATACGAGATATAAATTAAAGTTTCAATTCATTTTTTTAAACAATCGCTGATTTAATTGTTAAAAATTGACGAATATGTTGCGAAAATTTAACTCGAAAATTAATAACAGTTAAATTTCATACTTTCGCGAATCCTTTGCACAATTTGATGATTGAAACATCATACAAATTTAAAATTAATGTTAGATATTTCGATATTCTTGATACATATTAGATTTTATTTAAATAAGAAATTTTATTTGTCATGTCAGAGATAAACAGGAGAAAAACGTCATGGAAACATAGCCGAAACTAGCATCACAGTTTTTATCTATGCGTGATAAGATTCACATAGACATATACATCTATTTGGTATGGACTTGACCTATTTTTTCAATAAACAATATTAATTGGAATTAGTACGAATTTAATTGGATTAATTCTTTATTCATATTGTTATATTATACGTGCAGTTATTAACAAGAATCATAATCGTCAAACTTTTTAAGCCTGTCTCCATTGCAACAATATTCCAGAAGAAAAATTCATCAATCTTGCATCATAAATTAGAAGTAAATTTCCAATTATTTAACTACTTTTACAATTACTTCTTTGTATATTTAATACGTCACACTATGATTAAAAAATTCATTCATAAGGTTCTGAACATTAACACTGAAAGATCCTTCATTGAGGATATGAATCACGAAACACTTGAGCGCATTTCTTTCATAGAATATAAGCAATCAAGCATATTATTAGAAAATAATTAAAAAAAATAATACAAAGTGTCTTCTTATTTGCAACCAACGAATTAATCGAATTAATCTTTTTTTATCTCAAAAACAGTAAACAGTGCTTGGCTAACGGAATCATAGAGTAATCTTCCGTATTAAAATTCTTGAGAATCCGGAGATATATCATCTATGGTATTGATATAGACACTACGAATATTAACTCTGTCACTTCGATGTAGCCAATGATCCGTTTGAGTCAATCTACCGCCATTTAAAACGCAGCGGAAACAATTATTTAAACCGACTGCGAAGCAAGTGCTTCTCTAATGCAGTTGGACTACCGAAATGTATATCCTGTTTGTTCTTTTAATCATCGTTCCATGTGTCTATTTACAATTCGAACAAATTTAATACTTGTAACGATCTTTGAATCTTTCGTTTCAAAATATTTAAATTATTTTTAGCGATTAATATAAATTTTGCAATTTTCTCCCGTACATTCGATAATTTAAATATTGCAGATAAGAAGTTTGATTAAATGGGATCATAGGTTATAATAACAGACGATACGAATGCCAAATTTCCCTCATATAGTGGTAATCAGCTTGACAACTTTCCAAAGTTCTTAAATTATTTTCGAGAAGAAGAGACAAGCGCGTGATCACGAGCAGCTAATTATTTCATGGTTGATTAGGAAAAAATTGATTTCCATGTTGATACTGTAATTGTAGCTGTAGTCTTGGGAATAAGACACGTGAGTTTTTATCGTCTTTGAATACAATTGTACTGGTTGCGTCGCGATGAAAAATTCGTGACCCATATTGTGACCCAAATATGGACACGCGTCGTGCCTATACCGTTTTTATCGTCATCATCAATCATCTATACTTTGTTCATTCAATATTTCATTATTTAAATAATATATTCAATCTTTATTTCGATATATTTTCTTAAAAACTTGAAAATAATGCGATAATATATTTATGCAATTCGTGCAGAAAATAATATGAAAGAAAAGATCGTGTATTTAGTTAGATTTAGCAAGTTTTTGGAATTACTCAACACGTATCTTAATTCTTGGCAGATGGAGAAGATTCAGGGTCAGTGAAATTAATGTAAACCATATTTCTGCATCGAATGGTCATTCACTTCTTCTTTTTCTTACGATATGTGTATCCACGCACGTAGTATCTTGTAAAATCATACCAAAATTTGAAAGAACATCTTCAATAATAATAATAATAAATAAATAAATAGAATTGAAAGTAGCTTCATAAATTATCATACTCTTACCTTTATCCTTATTAAATCATGAGCCACATTGTAGATATACAGTCACATTGTAATTGTCAATTGAAATAATTTTCATAAGTTGCAACCACTTATTCATACTTGTGTGTAAAGTTCCACGCTTATAACTCACAATTAATTTACTTCACTAAATAAATATGAATACAAATTTCCTTCATCCAATCAATATTTTTCCATGTACTCTTGATTCCTTGTTTTCACTTAAAAAAAAAAAAAAGTATGAGAACATGTTCACAACGAAACTTCATTCACTTCATTCACCCATACCGTTACATCCTTTCCAACCGTAAAAATAAACCACAATCAGTCGTTCAATTCAAAGAAGATTAAAAGGAGAACTAGGAAATCCACTTCTCTTGTTAGCATCTACCCCAAGGGGACACTTCTAGTAGTACCCTATAAATTTGTAACACGATAGATTTTACCTTTCGAAACCCGATGGAGCGATTTCAAGGATATAGAGATACGAAACGATGATTATAAAGTCGACGAACCATGGATTAGTAACGTTCGAATGCACCTGGATCGGCTCTCCTCTCTATACCAAATATAGCTTGGAAATCTCGACGACATTTTAACGATACTTCGGCTTTAAGTTTGATAAAAATGTAGAAGAGTGAAAATGGCCAGGCTTCCAGCCAAAGTAAACTGGATCGACGATTGGGCAATGCGTCAAATTATCTTTCGATGATTTTATGCGAATCTCTGTCTTCGAAAATGAGAGTGTTAACGAGCTCGTTGAATTATGTTCAAGGCGGATACAGAATGTACAGAATCGACGAATAATTTACAATGTACATTTTCGCGAGGAATTAATATTTCGTTTCTTCCTCCTAATTTCTAATTTTGAACGAAAAGAGGTTAAAGAATTGATTCACACCTAATCCATAAAATATATTACATAAGATATTTGAAATTCCTTACAAATTTTTGCGTTCTTTATAAACCAATGAAATGAGATTTAAAAAGTCTGAATTATGACGTCTTAAAATTTTTTTTGGACTATCTTAGGGCTATTTTTAGCAGCCAATTAATATGAGAAGACGTGTCCTTGATACTTTAAGCGTGGGAGAGGAGAAAATTGTGAGGTTAATGTAATCTTATAGAAAGTTGTATGTCTGAATGATTTGTTAAAATAATTTTGTGAATAACAATATATATATTATAATATATTATATATTATATTATATATTATAATTAAAAGTTAATATATATTGTTAAGTTGTATATATAATATGTATATATAATAGTGTTGTGTAACGTCATAGACTTATCTTTACTTTTGATAATCATAATTAATTGTTAATAATATATAGATATTATTTGATATTAATATCTTTCATGTAGGAAAATTCATATATTTTTTTATATCATATCAATTAAAAAAAAAATTCAATCATAATTTCTTTTTAATTTTGTGACAGAATAACAATGTTTGAGCGATAAAATGTTACGCATCATGTTTGTTATTTATTATTGAACATGTTTATCCTGGTTATCTTTATCTAGCATAACATCTTTTCTTTCTAAAGGGAATTTATGATTATGATTCGTGAGATTTTCGCTTGTATTGAAATAAAGTATGTAGTCAAGTGTCGACATTCTCATACAAAGGGGAAACACAGCTGTGAAAATTCGTTTCCTGTTGTTAACTAGGTAAATAAACGATGTTTTTGCTCGTCTTCTCTCTGTTAGCTTCATCAAAAGAAAGAAATTATTTTACATTTTTTTGATTTTAATTAAAAAGAAGAAAGAAGATGAAGAATTATTTAACTTTTCATTTTGATTCTTTTATATCATTCACAGTCACAATATTAAATTATAATCTCAATTTCTTATTAAATATTTATTATTTTTAAAAAATATTGATAAATAGAGGTAATAAATATTCATATCTTGTATATAGAGGAAAAAAAAAATCTCCAAACATTTCATTATCATCGAAGTTGCATCATCGAAGAAAGAAATTATTCAATCCTCATCTTCATATATTTCAAGCTTAATATTTGTAATACTTATCCAACTTCCCGATTTCAGTTCCTCTTCAACAATATTTTCTTTGATAGAAAAACCAAATTAGACACTTGTTGATCCATCTATCTAATTCAAAGTTTTTAAATTTCTTCTTGTTAAAAACCTCATGTTATTAATTCTAAAATATCCGAGATATTTCCATTAAAAATTCACTTATTCTGCAAATATTAAAATAATATTAGCTAAACAAACAATTTATCCTATAGTCTTGAAATTGAAAATTTTTTCTCGATAAAAGTGACAGATAAAAGTGACAGAAGTAAGAGTATAATAAAGAGAATACGATGCTTGTACAATTACAGTGTTTCTTTTCTTCTTTGTTTTGTCTACGTGTCAAACATGTTCAGTTTCTCCTGTGAATAGATCTTGTCCTCCCCTGAAAGCACTTAACCACCTCCGCAAAAGAATAACAAAAAATCCTGAGTGGAAGGTTTCATCCCTTCATTTCTCGAGAAACACATTTATCAGGTTTGTGAGGGGTGATATTCTTTGCTTCATACGTGGATATAAAGATATATGATATTATACGATAAATAAATCAACCTGTTAATAATCTTTGATATGAAAAATAGCGGAGAATGTAAAAAATATGTATCATTTCTATGAATATATTTGAATACACTGTAGTCTTCTTATTTATAGTAGCTTATTTATTTACTTCTTCTTTTTAATTGGATTTCGTTATTTCACGTATTTGAGATGAGTGAGAAGAATTATATCACAGCATGAAATAAGCATCAAGCACTAAAGAAAATTTACAGCATTCCAAATCAGTCAAATAAAATTGGATGTACAAGAATGATTCTACTCGATGAAAGAATTTTGGAATCAATTCCAATAAAAATACCTTAGTAATATATTTATGTAAAATTTTCAAATAACTATACATTACGTTGTTTGGCAAATACAAAGAAGCAAAGAAGATCAATTCAATACCAAATAAAAATCGAGTATTTCATATATTCTTTGTGTTATAATAAAAAATCAGAGGATTAAAAAAATTCTAGAAATCATAAATGAATTTTATGGTTTAAAATTTAAAGAAAATATTATATTTTCCTAAACGGAAGATTATATCTCTTTAAGATTTTTTCTGTTTGTTCTATTCTATTATTACAAACCAAATATTTATATCAATCTATTATTATGTCAAAACAAACTTCTTCCAAAGATGTTCTTCGTCGGAACATAAATCTCAAAAGTAATATATTCACCAGATAACAAATGACGTGATAATTTGCACTAATTTTTAAGTTTGACTTAACGATATAGAATTTCGTTCTGCAAATAACGAGTCGTGCTTTGTTTGGTCTTCGAAGATTACCCATTCGATGATGAAACTTTTCAATGATAACAATTTTTCAATGTAAACAATGATATCATGGTGATTCCTTTTTCCGCATTTTTCTTATACCCAAGATATCTAAAATAAGATTTAAGATAGTCAACAACGTTTCAGATCAATGATCCTAGAAGTGACGCAAATTAGAAGTTCATCTATTTTGAGATGCACGAGTCTGGGATAAAAACAAAAATATGTATAAAGTTTGATCGCCATTCATAAATTTTTGCCTGGTTTTTGATCTTACACCGGATGGCTCTCTGTATTCAATTGCTCATTATAACAATCGTTGGCGGTCCATTAAAATCGAATCGATATTCTTTGTCTGTTTTTCGCCACGCGTCATCATCAAAGTTCATTGACTTTGCGTTGAGCAATGATCGATGAGATTCGTGTGTCGAAAATAAACACGTGGCTCGGTGTCTAATCAAAAGTATTATTTATTTCTATTTGTGTAATTTGCAGCTGTTTCTTTCAATCAAAAAATTGGTGCGCTGATTAGAAGTGGAAAGTGTGTATCTTTACGAGATAAATTTATACGTTTGTTCTTTTAACTGGTAATTGTATATTTATTAATTTGATATGATTAACGTTGTTACGTTGTTGTTTTTTTTATCTTGTTTTCTATTCTTTCACTTGCAAATTAATATAACAAAGGAGAATTAGATTCTGAAACATCTATCTCTTGAAAAATACAATCAATAGTAAATGGTAGAGAAAATGTATTGACTTAGTCTTCTTCCATCCCTCATTTAGCTCAATTTAATTCGTCCCTCGACGTCAAATTGACACAATAATGAAAAAAAAAAAAAAATCAATAGAAAAGATAAGTAAATTCAAACTTCTTCATTGATTAATAAAAATATTAAATTTCTCTCTATTCGAGAATAAAACACAAATTGCATTATTCCTAAATAAAAGATCAATCTGAAGATTAATTTTATTTCAATATATCAAATTGACACGAATAGAATAATGTTTAATTGCTATTCACTGAAGATTCTAATTAATTTATTTCTCACATTGGGAATAAAATATTATTTCCCAATTGTTGTGCTACTCAATCTGTGACACCCATGTGTGTTCTCCAGCAGGTGACGTACCCAATGATTGTACGTTGCATGCTGGTGCTCTGGTTGGTCGCTCTGGCATTGACAAGTATGCCAATGATGGGTTTTGGCGTGTATTACAAAGGTGAACGATGCGTACGGTACAGAGAAGCCACCGAGCCAGCTGACATCGCCTACGCATATGTTTGGTTCGTTTTCGGTGAGTATAGAACATTATTGCGATCGATAAATCCTTGAACGTGTCTCGACTACCGTATCGCAATTTAAACGCGGTCAAACCTTGATTATTGGAAGCTTTTTCCCTTGAACCTTCAATCATCAACCGTTTCACAAGGAAATTAAAAAAAGATTTATACCTTGTAATGATAATTTTGTGTACAACTTGTGTACAAAAATTAGTTTCGAAACTTTATTATATTCAGTTATATTATATTGATTTTCCTTTTTCCTTTTTAAATTTTTACTAAAGGTATTTTTAATAAAAGTATTTTATAATTTGACGAAACGTGAAAATTGATTGATTTATCTTGTAAATATTAATGGTTCTTAGGTACGGGCCTCTGCCTGTCGATAGTTTGGTGCAATCTGGCCGTTTCCAGGGCGCTTAGCAGGCTAAGTCGCAAAGCTGGCGTCCTCAGGCGAGTAACGAGATCCTCCTCGAGGGCGAAACCACTTTTGACAGTGACGGGGCCAGCGCCGGAAATCGTCACCACCGCCGAGGAAAGGGCATTCGCAAGATTGATGGCCGTGTTATCGATATCTTTCGTCGTATGCTGGATGCCGCAAATGGTAAGCGATCGATCGATGGAAGTAATTGATTGAATTAATTCCTCCCAGCCGGAACACCATCGCCAATTAAACGACGCTCGCGTCTTTTTGGCAAGCTAATTAGAATTCGTGAAATGCGCCACTTCCAATCCATCCGCTTTCGAATAGTTTGGATAAATACGTTCGTCCGTTAGAGAAATCTTATTATTTATTGTATTCTTTTAGTAGAAAAAGTAATTTAAACGTTTGGCTAAATTAAAAATTTTCTTGAAAGAAAGATCGAGAAAGATTGGTATTTTATAATTCTATATTTCAATTTATCAATTGTTACGATTGACAAATTCTTTCAATACGATTGTTTAGTTATCTAAATAAAAGTGTGATTTTATATTTTCATAATTAACGACACATTAATAACATTTCGAGAAGGAAGTGTCTATGAAGGAGTTTCCGGTTCTTTTATGGAAGCAATAGCGTTTACGTGACGCGATTGCTAGAGATTTATTTGATGATAGCATTTGCTCCTATGTCGTCGAAACATCGATAAAATTTGCCATCATATCCGTCGTGACGAGATTTTAAAAGTGAATCGATATTTTTTATTCCACACCATGTATCGTCCTTAAAGTGCCCATTTAATAATTCGTGATCGAGCGATATTTAATTCAATTTCAACCCTTCTAATGCGATTAATATGTATAACGTTAATTGATGTTAATTACTTCCTTGGATGAGGGAAATAAAAGGAACCGTCATGCTAATGTGGTTAAATATATCGATGGATCAGAATAGAATCTTTATTTAGCTTTGATTAAAGAAAGCATATATTTAAATATTTTAATAGTGAAGAGACGTATAAAACACCGTTAGAACGTACCTCCTTCTATAATATTAAGATCATTTTAAAAAATGAAAATAATCTTCAGGATATTTACAGAAATATTTTTTTGTATTATTCTCTTTTCAAAATTCTCCAGATATATATATATATTTTTTTTATAAAATAATATCAACTCCAAGATTTTTCAATAGAAAATTTGTAAAAAAAATCAAAAAATTTTAAGTTTTCTTCAACTGAATTCTTTCCAAGTTCAAATTCTGGATAATTGTACAAGAAAATTGAATTACATTATTCAAATAGTATTTAATGAAGCATTGAAGAAGCTATAAGATTCGCAAATCGAGGATATTTCGTGTAATTCCGAAGGGATCATTATCATTGCTTCAAGCTCCCGCATTCCTGAATTTTTAATTCGAAGTAATCACGATGTATGTATCCTGCCGGCAAGAATACAATCGCCTCGAACAATGCACTCGGTGGTACGGCGGTTGCATACTCACGAGCATTCCCCCATTTCCATCTCCTTATCCGCTCAGCATCTTATTCCAAAGTGTTTTCCTCGCGCGACGTGTAAATTTCCCCCGATTTCTACGTTCCTACAAATCGAGTCGCGCGGTTCACGTTCGCGTTCCTCCTCTGAACTTTTGCAACTCGGGTTATTCTTCCCGTTCCTCGAGCAAGCGTACGAACGACGGAAAATAATGTAACGATTAGCTCGCGCAAAATTGCGAACGTGACGCACTTCCGGCGCCCAGGACGAAGGTTAAACGCGATTGATTTAGTTTGGAATATCGTCACGTACGATCGATAATGGTTTTGCAGAACAGAACAGGATGTGGAAAGATTTCGAGAAATGTCGAATGAAAATTTTCCATCGCGTTCTTTCATCGGCGACAGTGTATTTCTGTTGTTGACCTTTATCGCGTGGGTTTGATGTTGATACTATCCGTGACCGTGACACTTTTCATTCTACGTCATTTTTAGCGATGTTACTTAATTGTAAGGCTTGATTTCGAAATTTTTTCTCGATTTCGTAATTCGATTAAGAATTTTATTAATTAAAACGAATCACAAAGATATATATATCTATATATAAGATATATAGATTATAAGATAATTGTCCTTATTTGTCGATTTAATAACACTCCTGGTATTTCATTATTTTTCATTAGAATAATTTTTTTTAAGATTGAAATAATTTGAATTCTTTTGGAAAAATTGCAATTGAAAATTTCATCGAAATCGATGGATGCAAAAACAAACGATGATCAAAACGTGTAAAAAACGTGTAAAATTATCTCGTGCAATACGAGATTTGTAACTTTTGACAGCAACTATCAATTGCTAGATCTATTATATTTTGTAATGGTGTTGCATCGGCTATCACGAAATAAAATCACTAGTGGCGCATTTATATTCCCCACAAAAACCCAGTAGAATTGCAAATCTGTTAGAATCAAGTGACAACAATAGAAAGGCATTGGTTAACAAAAATTATCGCTGCTTTGTTTCGACAGATTTCCATTCCATTGGCACAATTCGCGATGCAGTTGGCAGAGAAGGCGATACTCGCACGAAAATTGATTCGTATATTTCACCTGGCCGCCGACGTGCTCCTTTGCATTCACTTCACCCTGGATCCGTACATTTACGTGTTGCTAAGGATGCCACGGCCGAGATTCCGCCTTCTCAAACCCCTGTGCAAGATCTGTTGGCCAGCAAGAAGCCGATCGAGCTCGTTCAATGGTGAGTCTGGTCAATCCGAAACCCAACTTTCGTATTTAGAGGAGATGGGAACAATTAGTCACGCAAGTGGGACCAATCGCGTAGAAATATGAGATTAATCATGCGCAATATTTATTTCCTTTCAATATTATACGGTGTTAATTAACAATATATTAGCTTTATATAATATTTAATATTGTGTTAATAATAATAATACTACGTTAATTTTGTTAATATGTTAATTAGCTAATTATTGTCTTAACATTATTTTCATATTGAAATAAACAGAAGATGCTACTCGTCGCAATTGCGTGACTTATTCTGCATTCTACAATCGAACCTTTCCAATTAACCATTGTCTTAATTTCGAAAGATCGAACAACTAAAAAAAAAAAAAGTGAAGGATGGTTGCTCTATTTACTTCTGGTTTCCAAAGTGTAACATAACTTCTAAGTGTATTCATCCGAGGAATCACGTATTATACGATTGTCTAATGGCACGTGCAACGAGGAAATGAAAAAGTCAATACAGTAAAGATGCATAAAGGGAAGGATTATTTCATCTCTTGATGATTCCTTCGTTGTTTAGCTACAATCAAGGGACTTTTACACGAGACTTTGAATTGAAAATTGAATCGAATCCTTAAAGAATTCATCATTCGTTGAATCTTCACGTAACACATCATTCCTTAATCATTTTGTACTCTATCGTGACTTATAATATCCTCTCTATCGTAATCAATATTGCACTCGATATCCATTCCTTCATCTTCTAAACAATGTGATCTATTATAATCTATTTCTCTAATCTTATCATCCTTGATTCGTTATAATTCATCCTCTCCTTTGCCAAAAGAAATTGAAAGAATAATTTTAATCTTAATCTTTCAAGATTCTCATCTAACGAATAATCTGAAACTTGTAATGCAATTATCACCGATCAGTTTCTCCATAGATTAACAACTTTTGGCGTGGAGTGGTATTATTCCTCTTATCAGATCTTAGATTCGATGTTCATGATTCCATCACCGATTGAAATGGACTCTCTAACACCTGACAGGTACCACAGACCACCAGGGCAGCAGTGGTGATCCGTCGACCCCGATCACCGAGGCACCCTCAACACCCGTCAGCGAGGAACACGATCCTCCTTTAGTGGCGGTGTCGGTCTGAGACAGGCTTCAGCGAATGATCTTCCTGAAACGGCTCAAGAGTCACGATGGTAGCCAGGTTTGAGCTGCACACTCTTCGAGAACGTTGGAAGATCTTCGCTCGGTATACACGTACGATTAAACGAAATTCGATCGAGCCGAAAATTATTTACTCAAGGCACAGCAAAAATATCGAAATTATCGCGAAATTTTAAGATTTCTTGTTTTGGCTAATGATCAGAAGAGTATTTGATCCTTCACTTTATTCTTCTTCTTTTATTGTTGTTATTATTATTATTATTATTATTATTAATACTCTTTCGTATCCTTGGATCCATTTTATTCATTTGGAAAAATGTAAAATTCTTTTTTTTTTTTAAAACGAGACAAGATATATTCAAATGTGAAATTTTTTATCTCGAATGAATCCAAGGATACTAATTATTGTTCAAGTATCTCAGTGGAATGGTTTCCTCCGAGGAATTTTCAAGATTATGCAGTGAATCCTTGAGGAACAAATCAGGTGCGTTGAGATTGATACCTCGCTGATTTTTCGTGTACAATTCACGTGTTCGAATGTTCTTGTTTCTTTTCTTCAGTTTCCATGTCACTGTATATGATCCATTGTACAGATCATTTTATCCGTTGTAATTTCATGTATCTTAATATTCTTCTTATTAATTGACTTTAAAAAAAAAAGAAAAAAGAAAAAGTATCACGTATCATACTTTATATTGAAAGTATTGCACAAAATTGCACAAAATTTGTAAAAGATACATATATATATCAAGTATCATATATCGAAATTGATATTTATTATCGAATTCTTATTTTGTTTTTTTTTGTTACTGAATTGTATTAAGAAAGTAAGAGCAAACAGCATTCCAAAAAATTATCATCGCAATGTGTGATGCGTGTGTCGTATTTATCATTTGTTAATTTTGTAAAAATCCATCAAGATTCTATACAAAATACCCGATTCTAGTAAAATACAGAAGACTCTACTCGTTTGCAGTTTGCAAGTGAGAGTGAGTGTCGTCTTTTTTTTAACCGGGTATTTTGAAAAAAGAAATTGTAAAAATCGACTTAAAATTTTCTTCTTACATAAGAGTATATTCATAATTAAAAATAATATCAATTAAGTTTTAAGAAGTATATTTTGTGTATTAAGAAGTATATTTTAAGTAAATCTATATCAACGAAAAATCATCAATAATGCAAGTATCGACACACATTTCTATCACAGTTGAATAAATAATGTCTAGTCAATAAAATAATGCAAGCGTGCAGTAATTTACGAATTATAAAAGAGCAAAGAATGAACATTTACCAAAGTATTAAATATTAAAGGCATATTTTTACCGTACAATGTAATTCCGTAAATAGAATTTAAGAAAGAAGAGCATTATATATATCTTTTTCTTTTCTATAAAGATATACACTGATAAAAGTACTTATGTATACAAATAGATTAATCAACAATCTTGTGATTAACATGACGTTACCATGAATTCTTACTGACTTTATCACTACAGCCAGTGTAACTCATAAATATCTTATCATTTTCTATTGTATCGATGTAATATTATTAATAAATTTTAATCATTTTTTTTTTAAATACATATTCTAATATTCAAATTCAAATTTTTCATTTAAATAACGTGACGGATTCTGCTTTTATTTTTCTGTCAATATTCAATTCTTATAAATAATCCATCTAAAATGATTTCTAAAATATTGTACATTAGTAACAAACACGATTTTATTCGATTCTATTCGATTCGTTCGTAGAAAGAAACAAATTAAAGTGAGTGTGTTCAAACGTTAAAAAGGATGCACAGAAGAGAACGAAATAAGAATGGAAAGGAAGGAAGTACATATAATACAAATATATTTCATACGTAATTACGTATTCTCTTGCTTCTAGACACTTAACAACAATTAATCAATAACTTACGGGACGCGATCGTTGCTGAATACATGACACCTTTTATGTTTAGTTGTATTGCACACTAGAAATATACCACAGATTCATTCGTACACAGTATCAATCGGTGATACGTCTGGCGTACTTTCACGTATACCTTAAGTATCTATACAATAAATAATAATTCGACTTTTTCTTTTTTTTTCATTCCACTCGTATCCCATTTTACTCAATGATCTATAATATATCTTTGTTCAATTCCACACTCACAAAATACACAAATCGAAATTTCATCATTTGTATCATTCCTCGATTATGTTAACGACGAAACAATTGTCCTTTTCTCTCAATACAGGCATAATATATCACCAAAAAATCGTCCATTCCTTCGATGCACTCTTTTCTTCTAATGAAACGATCATCATTTCATACGATTCATCATCCCATCCAAGCACACGTGAATCACTGATACTTAAGAAACGATATGACACCGAACATTGTCTCACGAGAAAATTGATTCTCACGAAAAAATTGATTCTCACGAGGCGAACGCAAGGTCGAAGGCAAATATATCTCTCTTTTCTCAATTCTCAATTCCCGTTCATTCACGAGTTCAAACGCGCGAAAACACGTATATACGCCTCTCTACGATAATAGAAATCACACTGATAAACAAAATATAAGCCCCCGCACGTGATCAACGATTTTCCACTAGCAATAGATTTTACCTTGTTTCGAATAGGCTTGCGAACAATGATTTATCACACGTACAGGTATGTCGACATTAATTATGTACACATCGAAAAGGTGTCTTTGTCTCTCTATGATGATCGTAGAACGAATCTTGTGATCGTTTTTGTTTTTTTTTTTCGAGCCGTCGAGAGAGAAGTCGAATTCTTGATTGAATCTTTTTCGGCGGAATATCGATGTTTGATCAAGATGTGATGAATATTTGTACGATTAGAATTGAAGAGTGGATATGAAAAAGGCTATATGCATTGGAAATTAAAAATCTTATTTATCGAAAAGATTTCAAAATTTTTGTCTTAAGTGTAAGTATAGTATTGTTAATTGAAGAAAGGAATTTTATCATGATGTTTAAAGCCTTTTTCATTTCCAATCTTCAAGCCTCGAATTCATTAAAGTAATTCGAATCAGTCTTGAAGCATTTGAATCGTTCGTTCGGCTCTTCCATTAAAAAACGACAACAGACCTTGGAGACATTTCAACAAACTTTTATATTTTTTTTATGTTTTTTTTTCATGCTTTTTTTTCTTTTTGCATATATATTTAGACAACACATCCATACGATTCTCTTTCAATTTTCATGATCGAAGGATGACAAATTCATTTATTACAATATCTTTTACAATCAACAAACAGCTTCGTAATAATCCCCCAAAGTATACGTACCCTAAAACACCTAACTCCTTGGCTCCGTGAGAGATCTAAAGTTGGTAAAATGAATGGAAGAAGATTCGTGAATCGACATTCAAAAAGTAATATCCGAAGTTGTAAAATGTCCTCGGTTTTTCAAACGAATCATCGTATTAAAAGTGCAAAATTTGAAAAATTTGCGATTCTTTCTTAGTTTATCAAGGAACCGATCGACGTGCGAATGCGAATAATTCTCGTGCGGAAATAATCAATTTCGAAAAATCAATAAGGGCGAAAGTGCGCAAATCGAAAGATACGATTAAATATCATAAAAATCAAGATCTCTATCGTGGAACGCAACACTTGGTCTTGCGTAAGACTATGTCAAGTATTTCGATATCAATTAATTATTGTCAAATACACTGTATGTTTAATTACGTATGATCGATACATCCTCAAATCGTTCAAACTCGTAAAAAAGTCAGATCATTACTCTAATTGTAAATTGAAGCGAATAAAACGCGCGGGAGGTGTATAAATAGCTTAATAACTATCGAGAAGTACCGTGAAGGTACTGCAGGGGAAACTATGCGAATTGGCCTCTCGAATTTTGTACCATTTAATACATATATAGACGAACAAAACAATTTTTCCTCGAGTATAACTGATTATCGCGACGAAGAATTTTTTGAAGAATTCTTTTTTATTCAAATTGCGATTTATACTCTAATCTCTCTTATGCTTTTAATAATTCTTTTCTTTTTTTTTCTTTTTTTTTCTTTTTTTTACTTTCAATAACATCTTCGCCCAAATAAAAAAATATCTATTTTTTAGGAAGGACGAAAAATTTTATCGAATACAAATTTCAATTTCGTCTCCCTTTTAACAATTGAACATTCATTCGATCGTTCCTAATCTCTCCCTTATCTGGCCATATAAATTGTAATTCCTTCGACTAACAATAACAACAATATTATCACATTCCAATCCAAAATAAATTGATTCGTGACCTAGGTTAAATATTTATCCAGTCTGAGCTGCGAAGAAAGAAAAAATTTTCACTAGAATTCCATTAGCGATTAAACATGGAACACATTCTCTTACGATCGGTGAATAATTAATAAAATGTGTTATGTTATTGCGCGTCTACTACTTGTCGAGCGCGAGGCGTCGATCGATGGACAATGATAAATTCGTTTTGGCACTTTTAACTCGATTAGCTCCCTTCTAACGTTTTATGATATTTTTAGGCCAATAGTCACGTAGTATAAGCTCGATTCAACGCTCTTCCAGGTATCGTAATCCATTTCGTTTCAATGTTTAATTCCAAAGTGTAATATTATACATTTGACGCAACAGGGATATACACTCGCGAGCGAATCAATACGCGTGTATACGATCACATACGATTCATCCGTATACCCTTCTTCTTTATTGAACATCGAAGTATATCGACACGCTGAATCATCAGCCGACGAATTAAGTATCATCGAGAGAAAGCCAACTTTTTCTATTTCAAACCGGTGCAAAAGTACAAATTTGCGTGGAATCGATTTTCTGAAATCAAATACGAAATTCAAAACGATCAGATCACGTTCAAGCGATATCCATATCAGACTTGCACGGTTTTTGATGATAGTCTGAGCAAGTGAGGGCTTGAGATATTCGTCTGGTTTTGAACTTGATTTCAGCGAACCGATTTTCAGTTCTGTCGCAGAACGATCCAGCAAGAATTGAATAAATTATATGGCAAAGGTCTGATCATTTAACGTCGATATTGACGTAAAGATCAGAGAGAAACATATCTAAACTGGTTCCACGACAGTTTGCTTCTTGGCACCTTAATAATAACGGACCTCCCTTATCCTGGTTTTGATCCACTCGGCCAAAATCAGCCAGAGAACCTTCCCGCGTTCCCTGAAAAATCGTCGGGCGAACACGTCCTGAACAGTCACGATCGGACAATGACGGACCCGACTACGTGTGAATTGCACACGTAACAATGAATCCCACGGCATGTCGTGCCGATGCGAGTAAAATGCGGCCCTTACCTGTAAAATCAGAATTTTAGAAATCAACGAAATGGAATTTGTTTCCGTTAATGTGGAAAAATGTAAATGAAACGCCAATATTTTACGATTTCGCCTTTTGCAGTGATTATATTTCTTTGATAGAAATATAGATTAGAGAAGAAATAGGAATATTATCGAGGATATCAAAAGAGCACCGTGGCAGAAGATATGAAGACCCCGGAGATCCGGAATTCTATGAAGTTTCTCTCGTTTCTTTCGAGTTTTATATTTCTAACGATGAAATTTGTACGTACATATGATCTCAATGTTGAAAGGATAAATCTATAAAATCGAGCATAACAATTTGATCGTAATAATTGTTTTTTAATCGATCTTACCGAGGACCGTGCCAGATCAGATCACACTTTCCAAAGCAGCAGATGATTGGTCGAATCCTCACGACCAGCCTGCAGCTCGGCGGATGCCTGTGGACCTCTAAAATCCTCGTAACCATCTCCACCGGATATTACCAACAATTTTCCACGATTGATATTGTTCTGTTGTGCTTTGTTAGATTTCAAAGAATATCTGTTCACCTTTGGACGCGGGTCTGGTTTTGGCGGGGTTATTGTTTCCACGCAAGTGAGGAAACGCACGTGTCCGGTATGTCCATGAGGAATACCTGAAAAACAAAACAAAATAAATGTTAAAATCAGAATCGAGGAAACAACATCCGCATCTGTTGCCAATCGACAAAACATTTATGCTTCCAAACTTATCTCCCTCTTTAAATGCTCGTACACGTGGCATAATTCGTGCGAATAATTCAAAAACGACCGAAATACATCTATCCTTGTGTTCAGAGGCTCTGATTTTCTTGCAACAGAGTATCACAAATATCGAAATTAAATTGTAACAAAGATTGAAAGCCTGGTAGAGACGTCAAAGGCCCCGTTTCCGGAAATTTATTACGCTGGTTTACGCAGATGCACGAGGAGGGATGAATTTTACAAATGATTGATCGAGCCGTCGCGAACACTCGCGATGAAGCCACGAAGCAATTCGTACAGTGGCCAGATTCTAATTATATCGGAAGCAATGAGCGGCGATTATAAACGATTGAACGTGACGTCAATACGTACCAGTCACGATCGGTGGTTGGGACATCCTCTGAGTGGATGGCTTTATATGGGGAATTGGCACGGTCAATAGTACGCCGGCGCTCGTGCCGATCCAAAGCAACTCGTTGCAAGCCAAAAGTGCGGTGACCCTGAGACAGGCGGCCTTGTGCTGTCGTA